TCTAATCAGCTCTGCTGAATCTCCCGTATTTGCCTAAGATCCGTTTTTGATCTCTTCTCTGATCCATATTTGTTAAGGACTCAAGAGGAGTAAGAAAGAAAAAGGTGTGGCACTAATCACGAGACACGCCTCAACACTAAAAACTGCCTCATCCTTTTAATCTAATGGCCTATCGAGCTTAACCTTTCCCTCCCGCCATCTCTGCGTGATTAATAATCAACACAACCCGGCCTGTGTGATCAATGTATCTTAGAACAAAGCGTAAGTCGCACAAACACATCCCAGCTTTTGTTTTACCTAAAAAGGCCCAGCCTCCATTTGTCCCGGCCTGTGAAGTGATTGCCAAATGCACCGTTACTATGTGTGGTTTCATCATTAACAGGTTTAAGAATTTTGCTTTTCTGAAACCATCCTCAAGAGCCCTCACACCAAGAGGCAAATCCATCACAACTGTTTGTGAAAGAGTAAATACAGGTGGACACATCAGTTTATGAAAGAGAAAAGAAACTAAATGCTTGATCTCTTGTGACAGAAAGAAAACTTGTTAGAGGCTTTTGAAGCTTATCTGCAGTTAGAGCCAGCTTAGGTTATGCAAACAGCCCTTTCTGCACACAGTCAAAAGCAGGGGGTCAAGTAGCTCTTGACCGGTCTGCAAAAAGAAAAAAGAAGAAGAAGAAAAAACTTCACCCACAAGGCATAATGAAGCAGAGAGAGATCCAGTGAAGGGAAATTTCCACTATGAATGCTGGGAAGCAAGCTTCAAACAAAAAATTACTACAGTGAGGCGACAGACGCAAGGTTACAAATGATTCTGTGTCACAGCAAGACAAATGGACACAACCCACAGAGCCACCCCACAAACACAGGGAAATATGGACTCGCAAATTATGAAGTCTCCATACTTCTTTAGCTGACACTTTCACTTCCTCATCGTTTTCAAAAAAGCCTTCGGTCAGTATAATAATGGAAGCACATTCCCAATCAGAAGACCTGCTGTCACAAAATATGCCTGCCCGTAACTTCCCTTCCAATGAAACAGTCTGACTGAAATAAGGTGCCAGCATTGCCTTTGTGTCATCCGGCATCACCATAGACGAGCGCAATCAGTGACCATCTTTAACTCTGCATTTGCATGTTGTCCTATCACTCATATCTGAATTACTGAACATGCACGCCCAACAACCACACTGATACGGGTTCTGGAATAGCTGGTCGTAAGCCTCCACACATACCATGTCACACTGCAATAGCAAGCCATCAAAGCCAGTGAGTGAGATAAAAGGGCAAAGGTGGTGATCAGCTGGCTGTCCACAATGTTAGGACTCTAACGTCTAACAATGTCACACCTTTATACACTACACAATTTACTCAGTCACTTAGTGGGGAAAGTTGCCCATTCAGTTGCCCATTCAGTGCCCATTCAGTGGTGCCAATTCCACATTAAGAGATGCTGAAAACTTTCTTCAACACTAGAATATCAGGGTGAGAAGCAGCATCTTCCAGTCAGACTTTACCAGAATCAGTACAGGAGTGTACCCGTCAAACATTTTATAATAGGTCACGCTCCAATATGAACATCTTTGACACTCTACAGAAAATGTATCTTTAAAGTTTCCTGCTTTATATTAGTTTGTAGTCAATCCTTCTCTGGACTCTTAGCCAGCGCTACCCTTAGCTTTCATAGCCTCTAAGCCAAGCCTCTGCTGATTTCATTATTTTCATCTAATAGTAAAAATACATGATCCAATGCGTAGACGTCTCATTGGTATGTGGACAGTGTCTTTTTTTGGACTAAAAAAATAAATAAAAAAAAAGGGGAAAGTTTTGATAAAAGCAGTGTTATTGGGAACATTTTTCTTTAGAAGAAGAAGAACTGTTTTTCATCTGTTTTTTCTGGCCCCTGATTGTTCTTTGAAGACTTCGCAATCTTGAAAAGCAGAAAAGTAGTAAATAGACAACATATCTGATAGCGTAGGGTTAAGGTTAGAAATATTTAAGTCTCAGGGGGTTCTTTTTTTTTTTTTAAATGAATAAATAACATACGTGTTAGCATCTTGCAATTATCATAATGCAACGTGATGGAATCTCTTGTTGTCACCAACTCCCTTTAAAACTCTAATTTAAACTCCAGATTGCAACAGAGACACTTTCCATTATGTCCTTTGTTCAGGGTTATTTTTGGAATCTTTATAGCTGCAGGAGACATTACAACACTTTCCGTAACTTTATTAGCATTCCTCGTGACGAGTAATCCAACTGTTTTAGCGCCTCCAAGAAGCTCGCGTGTCGTGTGCACTCCGTGTTTGGCACCAGTGTGATCGTTCTGTTAATTATTACATGTTTGCACAGTTTTGCAAATAAATTGGAGCAACGCCGACAAACACTCTATTGCTTATGATAGCGGTCGCCACGGAAAATGTCATAAATATCAGCCTGTGACATCTGATAGGCTACTCACACCACTGTACAAGACCTATTAAAACCTTACGTTTGAGCTTAAAAAAAAAAAAAACACAAAAAAAAACACAACCTTAAACCGCTATCAAACAGTTTTGTTACAACTTCTTGGAAGAAGAAGTCTTTAACATTTGCTCAGTTATTTATTCTCTTGCTCATTTCAAAAATGATTTGCTAATGTTAACCTTGCAATTGACAGTTATGAAGGTCAAAAATATTACTTCTTGACTGAAGGTGTCATTTGCTGATAATTCGTGCAACAAAAGATGTACGTATGCTTACGTAACTTTATACACTAGATTCACACCATGTACCATTCAAACACGCGCAAATGTAACTTTATGTTCTTGAAGAAACAGCCCAAAATCAGCTACACGCACAAACTGACGTGTTAGTCTGATGTTAGCCGACAATATGTTGAGGCTGCTTTTCTGCCAGTGTTTCTGTACAGCCAGCCTTTCAGCCTTCCTAACAGCCAAACTACACTGGCCTCTTTGAGCATCCACTGCCCACAACAAAACCCACACAACCACCACGACTGCCAATATTGCACAAAGACACCATGTTACTACAACCCACGGCGAGGGGATGGGGGCAGAGAGAGAACTCATTTATGATAAAAGAGGTTATTCGCACACTGGAGCTATTTTTATTTGATTCCATTTCACAATTTTTGTTCCTGTAACAATCTTCTATATGCTGTGAAGTAAGCCGAGATTAACAAAGGAAGTAGTCTGAACACGTTTTTTCTTCCTCCCTCTTTCTTTCCGAGAGCTGAAGGAACGGGCACGAGACCCTGCCAGGGTGACAGAGCGTCCAGTGCTGAATCAGCGGGTCGCAAGTTGTGTAATCTCACACACACACACACACACACTAGCAGAGGCAGGGTGGACAGAGCCGAGTGTGTCTGTGTGTGCGTGTTTGTGCAAGGAAACTTCAAGAAAAAAAAGAAACAGAGGCCCAAACAAGTGTTACAGTTGTGGCTCCTCTTAATTTAAAGCCTCAGTGCCGCTGAATGGATCCAGTTGGCCTATAAGACAAGTCTCTTCAAACAGCCAATTCTTTAGGCTTGACCAAAGTTTTGTTTTTGTCAGGAAAAGTGCACACGCACACACACACACACACACGCGCACACACACACACGCGGGGGACTCTCAGCTTAAAGCCTGCCCTGTAACCATTCTGAGGGATGTGCTCAAATTTACCAATTAAAAGCCCTCACTTAGTCCTCTTATGGAGTGGGAACCTACAGGCCCTGATCCCTATTCATTTGAGGCCCTGTGGCATTAAAATGTGTGGGAGCCCCCTGCTGTTTAAATCAGGTCTAAAAGCAGTCATCCAAAGCTGCATGAAGACTTTCTAGGACTTCTGACAACTGCTTGTGTAATGTGTAATAAAAAAAAAAAAAAAAAAAAAAAAAAGCAAGATAAAGAAGATGGCCTACGATAACAATGGTGAGCCAGATGTGGGTGCTGCACCAGACACTTGCACAGCTGCCAGTTGCATCACAACCGGTTGCTTCTGCACCCAAGCCGCTAATCAACGATGAATTGATCCATTGTCTGATGCTGGTGGTTGTATACACATCCAGTGCTCCTGACACTACCAGTAATCCCTATGACATGTGCATGTTTACCCAAACTATCTAACAGGCATTTAATTTATTCGTCAAATGGCGCTTGCATTGTAGCAATTTAAATCTTGACAAAACGCTGTCCAGCAAGATTAATTTACTTATTGGCAGTCAGATATGCACTGCAAAATTTACATTTAGCTAATAAAGCATCTAATAGTACGGTTGCGTTCATCGGTTGGAAATGGATGCAGTACTGTTTGATGCAAACTGGTATAATTTGTATGACGAATTAATAAACTCACTTACACATTAAAACTGCAATTAAGTAAGTAACCTCTTATGTGGTATTATGACAATACAGACGACTCTTACGGCCAGATTGTTTTTTTAACAGTGGAGTTTGGCTGAACTCTTGCGTGGGTGTTATCGGCTGCTACCTATTGACAGAGCCAAATCCAGATGTTCGGACAAACACCTTTAGTTCCAGAGCTACAGCGAAGCCGCAAGCCGGAGAAATTCAGTGTGTGGTGTTCACCAGTTTAGGAATTAGCTCATGTTAATTCACAAGAATACATGACTTGCAATTACGGAATTAAGGACACATTAGCCCGACACAGCAGGCTCCCGACACCGCAAACCTCGACCATTCACGTGAGAACACCCGGAGGTTGAACTTCGTTTAAAATGTGACAATTTATACTTAAAACTTGTGTTTTCTACCGCATACACACTCCACAAGAAATTTCCACAGTCACATAGGCACACCGTTGTACATACTGCCCCACACTTCATTCATCTCTATTCCAGCTTTTGGCCACACTTGGCTCACACGTTGCTCTTTATCGTTGTCTCCAACAGTTTAACGAGCAAAAAGGGGCACACGGTGGCTTCTCCGCCAACCCAAGAGAAGTGGACGCACTGTCGAACAAGGGAACAAAGTTCAGAGTGGTGACAAGCGAAGACTTACAAGAGTTTGTTCATACTGCAGCGCCCGCTGATCTGACCCGTCTCCTGCCATGGTTCAGCTCGCGGTTTTCAGGTCGCCAAGTGAAAGGAAAAGCCGACAGCGCTATTGTGTTCTCACTGATTAAAGCATTAGATTTACTGTAGTTTCTGTTAAGGAGTTCACAAACGGAACTCCAAGTAAAGACTGTGAACTGGTTACAGTAAGTTCCTTCATTTTATAGCCTCAAGTTCTCAACAAGATAGAAGGCTGAGGCGGAGCTTTTGCTAGTTTAAGTGGGAGGTGTCAGTCAAGCCAGAAGGAACCTTTCGGTTGTTCATAGTTTTTCTTTTACCTTTAATCCTTTATTTTCTTTAGATAAAAAATTAAAACCAAAACAAAACAGTCTAGTTTAGTATATATGCTTGTGTTGTTGTTGTGTATGTAATCAGGGAATTCATTAAAGGTTAAATAATATGAGTAATTAAAGCCTTCTGAGCTGGTCCAAGCTTCTTCAGGACCAAAAAACAAAGGACAATCAATTTAACCGTGTTCATAAGGAACGGTGCTGCAGTCATATGGTAGAGCTCCTAATGACTCCTCATCTCACAGCAAACATTTAGACTTATAACAGGAAATGCACAGGTTAAAGTGTGTCCCACTGTGTCTGAATGCACAATAACAGAGCCCTGGTACTGAACAAAATGTAACAATTTTTAATGTTAGAAATAGAAATGTCTGCATTTCGGTGGGGGGGACAAAGCTCTTTTGAGTTAAGCATTTAATTGTGCTCTGAAAAAAATAACTCTGGGTAGGAATGCACAGTTTTATGCTCACAAATCACAATGGGCATTTTCAAAATTACTGAGGTTAAATCAGTGAATGACACAGGCGGCCTGAAACACAGTATATGTGAAATGTTCTCTTTGGTGTCATATCTCTTTACTAAATAGTGAAATCTATATCTCATTGTAGCTATTTATTTCTGCATTAAGCTAGCTGCTACAAACACAATGCACCAGTGATAGGACAGGTGTTCTACAAGGAATACAATCTCTGAAATATCTCTGACACAGATGAATCCATCTTTTTTTTTTCTTTCTTTTTTTAAGTATGATTAATGCAAGTTTTTCCCTGACATGACCCAATCTTTAAAGGTTGCTTAAACCCTGATGTATCGCATCGCAGAGATGTCAGCTAAAGTTAAAACATTGTCAGGCTGTATTCTCATGTAATATGAACTGGAACCACATCGAGTCCAGAATTTGTACCCAATTCGCGTTACTGTTTAGCCTTTAGTTACAAGACCAGAGATGATGCAGTTTAGAAGCATTAGGTTAGGTAGAAATCTTCTATTAGGAAGTAAATAATTTTAAAAGTACATAGAAGTATGTAATCCTGGTTGGGGTGGACAACTACACTTAATGTTTTTGGTAAAATGCTACAACCTTGTGGTGAAAGTTTCCATTTAATATTGGTTTCCATTTAAATGTATTTGATAAGGTAGCTGAAAACCTCTGAAGATTGAGTTTGAGTTGTTGCCTTCCAGCCGCCGTTTTAGAGTACCTGTGAGGAAGACTAAAAGACTCCAGGTCTCTTTTATCCCCACTGCATCTTGTCTCCTCAATGGCAAATAACTGTTCTTGGACTTTTTAATCACTATTATTGTCATTATTATTTTATAGTATTGTTCTGTTTATTTATATCCTGCTGCTAAACTAATTTCCCCTTGTGGGACAATAAAGAAATTGAATTGAATTGAATATTTACTACAGTATTTGAGGCTTTAGTGAAGTATTATACCAGCTGACCTGTCAATACTGACCACCAACAAGCTACACTGTGTGAAGCAGGGCTGCCCAATCCCAGTCCTCGAGAGCTACTATCCTGCAGCTTTTAGATGCATCCCTACTCCAACACAGCTGAATCAAATGGTTTGATTACCTCTTCAGCATGCCATCCTGTTTGGCAAAGGCCTGATAACAAGCCATTCATTTGATTCGGGTGTGTGGGAACAAGGATGCATCTAAAAGCTGCAGGACGGTAGCTCTCGAGGACCGGGATTGGGCACCCCTGTGGTAGTCCATCGAACTCACAGGTGTCGAACTCCAGGCCTCGAGGGCCGGTGTCCTGCAGGTTTTAAATGTGTCCTTGATCCAACACAGCTGATTCAAATGGCTAAATGACCTCCTCAACATCTCTTGAAGTTCTCCAGAGGCCTGGTAATGAACTGATCATTTGATTCAGGTGTGTTGACCCAGTGTGAGCTCTAAAACCTGCAGGACAGCAGCCCTCGAGGCCTGGAGTTTGACACCCCTGATAACTGATGCATTTCAATCTGTTTTAAGGGATGAAAGATATGACATTTTCACAAAGCTACACTGCCAGCGAGAGTAAAATTTGGAGCAGTTCATTAAAATCTCTAAGATTATGTAATCTAATCCTTTTTCCATTTTCTGATGCCAGCCGGAAGTGCAATTTTATTTTGCCATTGTTTTATACATAATATTTACAGACACAGCAAGCTACTTTATTCAAATCTAATAACATTCTGTATATTTTCTTAGTATTTGTTACTTGCTAGTAGGGCTGGGCGATATATCGAGTTTTTTAAAAATATCGATATATTTTCATACGAGATATAAGATGTGACAATATCGTTTATATCGATATAGCTTATGTTACGTTATAATTATACTTGTGGAGCCGCAGGTTTGCCTCTCTTTCGTCCACTTTTGTCTCTACTCGGCCTCGCCTCTCCTTCACTGAACACAACTCCCCCTCCCCCATAGCTTCACCTGCAGGCAATGACAAGATGAAAGCGGAAAATCTCCGTTAGCGAGTTAC